AAGTGGAGGGCGTAGCAGGAGGGAGAATTTGCTCAGTCTGGCCTGGTGGCACTGTTTTATTAATGATCTGGAAGAGCAGAGGAACAGTGATTTTCATTAAATATGCCAGTGATATTAAAAGATGTCAGGAGCCACTGCTGAGGACACAGACACCTTGCAGACGGCCCCTGGGGGCGTTAGGAAAATAATTCAGGAAAAAGATGAGAGCCTGTGGGCTGAGCTGAGGGGACAGAGGGTCATCATAGGCAGAATATACCCTAGGCCCACCCTCTTTGTCTGTATCCGTTCTGTTTCCAATAGATTTCAAACTGATCTTCCTGCTTTGGTTTTCTTCCTCCTACAGCCATCCTAAACGCTTTAGCCAAATTGGTTTTTCTGAAATACAGATCAGACCATGTCATTCTCCTGTTCAGAATCCTATCATTGGCTTTTCACTGCCCTTAGGATAAAAAAATCCCATCTTCTCAGCCTGGCATATAAGACTTGCCATGAATTGGGTCCTCCCTCTGTGACCAGCCTCATCTTCTGCCCCTTCTGCCTCGCACTGAATTCCTTGTAATCCCGTGCACACAGCAGGCTTTTCCATGGCTTCGTGTCTTTGCTTGGGCTGTTCTCTTTGACTCAAGTGCCCTTCCCACTTTCTTTCTTTCTTCTTCTTCTTCTTATTTTTTTAAACTAAAGCTCACTCATGCTCGAAGCCTCATTTCAGGGATCACTTTCTTCAGAACGCCTCCTGAATCCCCAAGCTGGCTCAGTGCCCTCCTCGCGTGCGGCAGGTATACCTTCACTGACGAAGGTAGAAGTGCCTATATGTGCAGCTCTCCACCCCTGCTAGATGGTACCTTCGAGGGCAAACCCTGTATCATTTTTTATTTTGCCCACTGGCATCTAGTACCAGGCCTGGAGAATCATAGGCGTTTGTTAATGTTTGTCAAACTGAACTGATGGGAAGGAGAATATTCGGGTGGGAGATGGCCTCGGGCAACGAGGACACCCCCAGGAAACCTGGGGACCGGGCAACTCTACCAAATGGTTGGTCTCTCCTGTGAGGGTACGTGAGGCAGTCATATTGCTTCTAAGTCCACAGAAGACTGGAAGCTGATGGGGGCTCGTGGACATTCTGCAACAAATTGGGACATCCTAGTAAAGTGGAGTGGTTAAGACCATAAATTTTATGTCATCTGTGTGTGGGCTCTGGCTCTGCTACTTCTTTGCTTTATGCTTTGAGTAAATGACTCAAATGACTTAACTAAGACTCAGTTTCCCAAAATGTAAAAGAGGGATAAAAATAGTACTAATCTCATAGGGTTGTTCTGAAGATGAAATGGGATCATACTTTATGCACACAATAAGCACTTTTAAGTGTTAGTTACAATCATTAATATCTTCCTTATTTGGGGTGGTTCTTGGGGGTCTCAAGCTGAGTCACCTCCCTGACTTAGGGCTGATTAAAAGCCTTCTGGAGCCACCAAATATCACTTGGGTCTCTGAGGGACTGCGTGGACGCCCCAGGAGGTTGGGATCTGTCTCAGTTGGTGTCTGGGGCTGGGGCAATGGCACAAAAAGATGACTGTTCGCTTGTTCATCAGAGACGTCCCCTCTCCCTCTAACTTCTCAGGCAGAAACCATCTCCTGGTAGGGCTGGAAAGAACAACTGGGCATCCACGGCTCGTTTTCCACCTTCAGTTCCAAACACTTGATGCAGGCAATTCTTAGCCACCTTCTTGCCTTGTTTTCTTTTATCCTTTCCTTCAATTCATTTGTTTTGGTCAGGGAACAGCCTGATTCTGACCACATGATAGCATAGTCCCCATAAAAACCTATTGCCACGTGTGTCTGTAGGACCAAGGGAAATAAAGGCCATGATCCTGCTTAATTATCCAGGTAGGTAAGATCAGTAGGAATCCTCGTCCCCCTTTGATCAGGATAACTCTACTATCTCAATGTTACATGTCCCCTGACTGCAGCAGGCCAGCCCTCTTCCCTAACCTGTGGATAGCCCACCCCTGTGGGCTTGGCCAGCCATGCAGCTGCCACCGCCTGTCACCATATTGGCTCTTGATCAAAGAGCTGCTCCAGCTGTGCCCACCTTCTGTCTCCTCATGTCTGGGGCTTATCAGAATTCACAGAGTGTTGTGTTTTCAGAGGTCAAGGCAAGGAGCCAAGATCTGTCTCTGTCCACATTTCTCTGGCTAGGTGAGTGCCAAACCTATGAACAGGGTCACTGTGTGCATCACAGATTATGAGGGCTTTGAATATGGATGCCGAACACCTTCAACCTCTCTACTCCTCCATGGTCATTGTCATAGCCTCTTCTCCTCTGAGTGAGGTCAAAGCTCCAAGCACCTTCTGGGATGACCCCCAGTACCTAGACTAATGGGGAATGTGGTCCTCAGCAGTTGACTCTGTGGATTAACGAAACCAAGTTAATCCACAGAGCCCTTTGGGAGGAGGGCCTTCAGGATTACAGTATGCACCAGGGTGTACTGTGTCCCAAAGGGAATTTCCCTTTGAGTACAAGCCTTGGGAATTTAAACAGGTCCTACATAGCCTCTAAAATCTAGTCCGGATTTGTCTATGAGATTTTTTTTTTCCCTAAAACAAATGACTGTAATTCAGATTGTAAAATGACTTTAAAGAAGGCTGATTTCTGAGTTTATTAGTCTTCTCAGGCTACCATAACAAAATACCATAGACTGAGTGGGTTAAACAATAGAAATTTATCGGGAGGCTGGGATTCCAAGATCAAGATACTGGCCAATTTGGTTTCTGGATAGAGGTCTCTTCCTGGCTTGCAGATGACCACTCTCTCCCTATGTCCTCACAAAATGGACAGCTCTCTCTCTCTCTCTCTCTTTCATCTTCTTATAAGGCCACCAATCCTATTGGATTAGAACCCCACCCTTATGACTTCATTTCACCTAAATTACCTCCTAGAAGTCCTATCTCCAAATAAAGCCACAGTGTGGATTAGGGCTTCAACATAGGAATTTGGGGAGGGGCACATTTCAGTCCATAGCACTGAGGAAGCTTCCATCCAGGGTCACATTTATTTATTCCCAAACATACGTTTACTGAGCATCTAACTAACTACTTAGGATACTGTGATAAACAGAATAGACATAATCTTTGTATTTATGTCATTCATAGTTTAATGCATGAGTTAGTCATTAATCATATAATCCTACAAATACCCATGTAATTTCAAAATGTTATAAGTGCCACGAAGGAAAATTAAAGAGGGAGTTGACCATTTCTAGGGTGAACATAAGTTTTTCTGAGAGAGTGACACTCAAGCTGAGATCTAAAGCATTGTTAACAGTGGGGGTACGAAGAAGGAGCAGTCATTTTGGTCGTGGGTGATGTTATGGGCAAAGGTCCCGAGGTGGAAAATAAGTTGATGTACTCTAGGACCTGATATGGCTGTTACTGCAGAAATTCAGTGAGAGGGACAGTGGCAAGAGCTGAGGGGGAAGAGGAGGAAGAAAGTAGCTCGTGCGAGGCTTGGCAGGTCATGGTAAGGATCCTGGTCTCTATATTAAGAGCGAGGGGAAAATACTGAAGGACTTCAAATGGGGGAGTGAGAGCATAGGTTTGGGTTTTTAAAAAAAAAAAGATGACTGTGGCTATATGAGAAGATGGAATAGAGAATGGTCAGAGTTGGAGTGAGTTCAGTAAGGAGGTGACTGTAGTAGATTCATCTGGTGAGGAGTAAGGGGCCTTGGGCTGTGATGGTGGTGAGAGAGTTGGGGGGAGAGTTGGTAGGGTTTAGTGCTGGACTGGAGAAAGAAAGGCTGGCAGACAGGCAGCGATTTTTGAGCATGAGAAACCGGGTGAATGGAAGTGCTATTTTCTGAAATGGGAAACAGCGGAGAAGAAGGAGGAGCAGGTAGGGAATAGCAGCATTCTTCCATTACTAACAATACCCCTACATGGTTATAGCAGAGGTGGAAAAATGGGCAAATTGCTTATTTTCAGGTATTGAATATTTGCTTCCTCATTTCATCTGAATGAGGCAATGAGTAGAAAGAGAAGTCTGTAGTTCCAGCTGAGTTTCTTCCATTCTTCTGAACTCATGCTCACCTTTTAGTGCTTTTAGTGCTTTTAGTGCTTTGAGACCAGCAGAGGAGGCTGCATTTCACCCCCAAAATCTTGCCTACAGATGAAAAGAAACTTATTTGAGAGCCACTTGCATGTTATTTATAGTGCCTTCTACCACCTGGCCCTTTCAGTGTTTGGGTGTGGAATTTGAGTGGCTGACTGATCTTCACCTTCCTGTAACTGGATACCTAAACTCTTTCATAAGCATGTTTTGCTGGAGGGCTAAGGACTGCCGTGGACTGGTCTTGGGCACAGCTTACAGGGCCTCAGTTTAGCTATATGGCAGGTAATATTTACTACAGAACATCTCTTGGATTTCCCAAGTGATCTCAGAATTACAGCTTGCCTCCCTAAATTTTTCATATGGGGAAGGAGTTTTTCCCAACCAGGCTCAACTGCACACAGAGCAAGGTGTTCTATCTGGGGGGAGTAGCCCAGGAAAAAAGTTCAATATGTACTCCTGCAAACCTATGTTATGCAAGATTCTTGAGTATCTTAAGTATGACGACAGTGTGGTAAGGAAGGCTGAAAACTCTAGAAACAGTAGAAGTGAGGATGAATATTCATGTTATACTTGGTCAATTTTAAATTGATTGTTGAGAACTCTCACAGATAACAATGGGGTTGGAAGACAGGACTAAAAGGGTACCACTTAAGTTTCCAATACCAATATTCCCAGCTATTTTAAGCCATATTTCAACGGAGTCTACCAGAGGGTCCTGAGGACAGAGCAGCTATTTGTACCTCCCAGTGACATCTATTTTTCCAAGTGAGAGACTGCCCAATGTGTTAGTGCAATACGTCAGTCAAGGTGAAGCGTCAGTTTGAATTGGCGGGAACCTGCCCTTTGCTGTCCTCCTTTTCTTCATGCCTTTTTCTGCCCCTCTGATCTCTTCTAGGTCTCTGGACTGTCAGGTGGACCATTGGTGCTGCAGTGGAAGCCAGCAGCTAAGTCTTGTGTATGGCGTGGTTAAGGTTGCAGCCTCTTACCTCTGCCTTCCTCCATTTTGGGCTGATTACCTTTGTGCTCTTCCTGAATGGTCTTCGGGCAGAAGCTGGTGGCTCAGGGGATGTGCCCAGCACAGGGCAGAACAATGAGTCCTGTACAGGGTCATCGGACTGCAAGGAGGGTGTCATCCTGCCAATCTGGTACCCGGAGAACCCTTCCCTTGGAGACAAGATTGCCAGGGTCATTGTCTATTTTGTGGCCCTGATATACATGTTTCTCGGGGTGTCCATCATTGCTGATCGCTTCATGGCATCTATTGAAGTCATCACTTCTCAAGAGAGAGAGGTGACTATCAAAAAGCCCAATGGAGAGACCAGCACAACCACGATTAGGGTCTGGAACGAAACTGTCTCCAATCTGACCCTTATGGCCCTGGGTTCCTCTGCTCCTGAGATCCTCCTCTCTTTAATTGAGGTGTGTGGTCATGGGTTCATTGCTGGTGATCTGGGACCTTCTACCATTGTAGGCAGCGCAGCCTTCAACATGTTCATTATCATTGGTATCTGCGTCTACGTGATCCCCGATGGAGAGACTCGCAAGATAAAGCACCTCCGAGTCTTTTTTGTCACTGCTGCTTGGAGCATCTTTGCCTACATCTGGCTCTATATGATCCTGGCCGTCTTCTCTCCTGGTGTGGTCCAGGTTTGGGAAGGCCTCCTCACTCTCTTCTTCTTTCCAGTGTGTGTCCTTCTGGCCTGGGTGGCAGATAGGCGACTGCTCTTCTACAAATACATGCACAAAAAGTACCGCACAGATAAACACCGAGGAATCATCATAGAGACAGAGGGTGGCCACCCCAAGGGCATCGAGATGGATGGGAAAATGATGAATTCCCACTTCCTAGATGGGCATCTGGTGCCCCTGGAAGGGAAGGAAGTGGATGAGTCCCGCAGGGAGATGATCCGGATTCTCAAGGATCTGAAGCAAAAACACCCGGAGAAGGACTTAGATCAGCTAGTAGAGATGGCCAATTACTATGCTCTCTCCCATCAACAGAAGAGCCGCGCCTTCTACCGGATCCAGGCCACCCGTATGATGACTGGCGCAGGCAATATCCTGAAGAAGCACGCAGCAGAACAAGCCAAAAAGGCCTCTAGCATGAGCGAGGTGCACACTGATGAGCCGGAGGACTTTGTCTCCAAGGTCTTCTTTGACCCGTGCTCTTACCAGTGCCTGGAGAACTGCGGGGCTGTGCTCCTGACAGTGGTGAGGAAAGGGGGGGACATGTCCAAGACCCTGTATGTGGACTACAAAACAGAGGATGGTTCTGCCAATGCGGGGGCTGACTATGAGTTCACAGAGGGCACTGTGGTTCTGAAACCAGGAGAGACCCAGAAGGAATTCTCTGTGGGCATCATCGATGATGACATTTTTGAGGAGGATGAACACTTCTTTGTGAGGTTGAGCAACGTTCGCATAGAGGAGGAGCAGCCAGGGGAGGGGATGCCTCCCAGAGTACTCAATAGTCTTCCCTTGCCTCGGGCTGTCCTGGTGTCCCCTTGTGTGGCCACAGTCACCATCTTGGATGATGATCATGCGGGTATCTTCACTTTTGAATGTGACACTGTTCATGTCAGTGAAAGTATTGGTATCATGGAGGTCAAGGTTCTGCGGACATCAGGTGCCCGGGGCACAGTCATCGTACCCTTTAGGACAGTAGAAGGGGCCGCCAAGGGTGGTGGTGAGGATTTTGAAGACACACATGGGGAGATGGAGTTCAAGAATGATGAAACTGTGTAAGTAACCTTTCCACAGTCCATCTGCCTCCGTCCCTTGCCACCCCCTTCTCTCCTGCACCATGTTTTAAAACTTTTTCTTGTATTTGTGTTAATGTCAAACTTTGGTTCCATCACAGGTATGCAGGATCAGCAGACCCTCCTGCCAGGTTCTGCTTCCAAAATCTCCTTCAGCTTTCTCACTTTAAATTGTTTACGGGCAAGGAATCCTGTGGCAGGATCTAAGGACGCAGAACATTTTGTCCACTGAAACTCAAAATGATGGCTGGTGGAGGTGTGGGATGACAGAAGTTCTGATATCAGATTTGGGGGGATTCTTGTGAATTCTCCTAGCAAGAGCTAGGCGACTGCTTGGGTCTCTCCTTCCTCCTTTTCTCAGGCCAAGGGCTTACATGAGCTTTGAAGCCAATCCTTTCCATTCTGAGACGGTGGTAGCCCAATCAGGACACCCTCAAGAAAGTGAGTGGCATTGGCTTTTTTTTTCCAGTACCACATTGCAACTGTATTGTATAAGCAGATTTCAGGCACCTCTCCTTCAATTTGGAAATTGCAAAATTGATTGAAACTTAGCAGTCTCTTTAAACACCAATAGGCTATTTTATGGTGCGAGGCTTGCCCAGTTTAGGTGAGATGAATCAGTATGGCTTGGGTCCTGGAGGTATCTTGGAGAAGCAGAGCTCCCAGGGCAGCGGCCACCCGTCTTCAGTCACAGGTCTAAGCTCCAAAATCTGGCTAAGCAGTGGAGGAGAAGCCTCTTAGGAATTGTGGGGGGAAAATACATCTTCTGTGTGGTCATCTCTTTTCATCGTCCAGAGTTCTCCTAAAATACTTCTCAGGTTGCTGCCCCATTTAGTCCTTCAGACACTGGGTCTTGCACTTCTATTGCCTTTGTCACTGTGAGGCCTCTCCCCATTGAAACATCCTGTACTGGGTATTCAGTCCTGTTCTCGGATGGATATCTTTAAAGAAGATAGCAGACTGAATCTCCCCAGGATTTGCAGCTTATGAGAGGGCAGACTTTCCAAGGTGGCCAAGAAGAAAGGGGATGAGAAAGGGGAACATTGGTCTCAGAATTCCTGCTCACATCCACGAGCAATAAGCAGTAGAGGGGAAGGTGTGAAGAACAAAAGGGGCATATATAGACAGTGGGAGATGTCAAACTGCTCCAAGAACCTGCTAAAACCACTTTCAATGGGAAATGAAAACTCTCATCTGTAAAGTGGGAATAACAATACTTTCCTTGCCTCAAGGCTGGGCTCGTCTCTTTTTGCAGTTCCTCCCAGCTGTAGGATTTTCTGAACTATAAACCTAGGCTCTCATACCCACAGCAGCCAAAGATGGAACAGGGGGTACTGTCTTCTGAAATGAAATGGCCATTGACAAATTGATTTATTGGAGCTCTGTTTAGTCATTTAGCTGGGAAGGATAATAACTCGTTAACCTAAGTAAAAACCTGTTCCTTCTAGAGAATACTATCCATTTATATACATACAAATGAAGGCCCTCGCTGGGAGGAAAAACTCCATGAAATTTCACACGTATTTATGGCAATGTCAGTAGATAAGAAGTTATTGTCAGGCATTAAATGACATCAAGACCACAGCATTGGCCATAACTGGACAGACTTGGGGTTCCTCCTATTCAGTACCTGTCTACCGAGGGAACTGAAGGGTAGTTTTTGAGAGATCAGAAGTTGAGCTCGCAATTTCTTCACCTCATTAATAATCAATTGTGCACCTAGGATCTCTAAATATGACTCAACCTGCCTCAGAACTGTGTGTATTTTCAGCTAGATTACTGTCTTGGTGTAAAGGAGCCTCATGAATGATCGCTTCTGGGTGATATTTGTTCTAAACGCATGTGCAGTTCCACACGTTTGAGATGCTGGTCCAGGGTATTGTAGGGTTTCCCATCGATTCCTTTGCATTAGTTTTTAGACTTCAGTAGACTTTAGACTACCCTCTTGGCCTTCTTCATTGCAGAAGAATGAGTCCAAAGCCTACTAGTCTCTTCTCACAAAAGGAGCCCTACCTTTGATACTTTAAATTGTAATTTTACATCTAGAGGCAGTATGATACAGCCAAAAAAACCCATGGGCTCTAAGTATAGTACTCTGGGTTAGGATGCTGGCTCTACTACTGATTTAACTATGTAGTTTGGAGAAATTTTATTAACTTAGATTATTTCCTCATTGAAAAAATGGGGATAATAATGTCTCTCATGCAGGGCTGTTATAATGATTCAAGATATTATATGCAGTGTTCCTTGTACATGGTATGTGCTCAGTAAGCAAGGCCATTAATAGTAATATCAATGAATTAACAATATTCTTCAGAAGACACCATTGATCCAATCAGGTTACCTGATTGGATCTCTGTGTGACCCTAATTAATAAGCTTGCAAGTTTTTTAGTTACCATGAAGATTACTAATCTAAACTCATAAAATACTGGAGCCAGAAGGGACCTCAGAATATCTTCCAGGTATCATAGAGTAGTGCTTCTCAAATTTTAATGTGCTCATGGGCCACTCAGGGATCTTGCTAAAATGCAGATTATTATTCCAAAGGTCTAGGGTAGAGCTTGAGATTCTGCATTTCTAACAAGCTCTTGATGCTCCTGGTGCCAAGTTAGAGGTGAAAGGCTCTAAAGCTCTTGCCGAAACCATGAAACCCAGGAAGGAAAGTGGCTTTTCAGATGACTGTCATGATTGGATCATGAATGCTTGCTTTCCAGGTCCAATGTTCAACTTCATCTTATCTAGAATCTAGCTCTTACCCTGAGACCCTGCTAATCGCAATACCGATTTGGAAACTGAAATTAAAACCCTCAGGAGGACTTAGACAGAAGCTGTGTGACACCTGGAACGATTTTACTTTCTAATCCTTCTCTCTTTGTGTAGCTTTTTTTGCCCACCAATCCTGGTAGCACTGTCACTTTTGCCCTCACCATACTCCTCTGAATCTATTCAGGATGAAGCCAGGCCTATGCTCTATCAATAATATTAGGTCCGTGAATTCACTCATTTGGTTTTGTGCTTTACTTCTTCAAAGGTGTCCTTAGCACCGTGGTAGGATGAAAAAACATGAACCTTGGCGTCTGACAAACAGGTGTGAATCCATCACTCACCAGCTGTGTAACTTGTGATGAGTCACTTCAGCTGTCTGAGCCCCAGATATTTTGTTGGAATGATAGGAACAATAACATCTATTCTTCAGGATTGTGATAAGTACTACATACAAATATGAACAAAATGCACCTTTAGCACAGTGCCTGCTCATCAAAGGTGCTCATTCATTCAGCAGACAGTTATTAAATATCTGCTACATCCTAGGTACATTACTAGGTACCGGAGAGAAATAAGTGATTAAGATAAGCTGGCATTTCAGCTCCCAAGGATCTTATTCTCCAGTGGAGTGGACACAAGGTATACACACAAATCAAAACACATGGGAGAAGTATGGTTGAGATAAGCTCAATAAGAGGGGAATGCAACTCCTAATTGTGTGTGACATCACTGAAGATTTTTGTTTTTTTTTTTTAATTTATTTATTTACTTATTTTTGGCTGCATTGGGTCTTCGTTGCTGCACGCAGGCTTTCTCTAGTTGCGGCGAACGGGGGCTACTCTTCGTTGTGGTGCGCGGGCTTCTCATTGCGGTGGCTTCTCTTGTTGTAGAGCATGGGCCCTAGGCACGTGGGCTTCAGTAGCTGTGGCTCATGGGCTCTAGAGCGCAGGCTCAGTAGTTGTGGCGCACAGGCTTAGTTGCTCCACGGCATGTGGGATCTTCCTGGACCAGGGCTCGAACCTATGTCCCCTGCCTTGGCAGGTGGATTCTTAACCACTGCGCCACCAGGGAAGTCTGACTAAAGTTTTTAAAGTCACCTTCATTAAGGATGTAGTAGTGAAGTAGATGAAGAGGGGCGGGGGGTGGGTGGAAACATGATTACTTTAAACCCACGTTACAATAAACTCGTGATCTTTGAGAGGGATACTACTGACATCTTCGTGCTCCAGAAGAATCCATACCTTTGTGACTACCACTGCAGCACATCCTGGGAATAATAGCCTCTGAGCCTCCTGCAGATAATAATAAAGGCTCACCGAGATACGGGTGCTTGCCAGCACGTTCATCTCGCTCACTGAGCGTGTGGCTGGCTCCTGTGTCCCAGGCTCACAGTGTGCCTCTGCAAACATAAGATTATTGCGACTCATTGACCTTTGGGGTCTCTGGGAATAGTCAAAGCCACAGATGTCAAGATCTACTATAATTAAATAACATAGGCCTCCTTCAAAGAAGAATCGAGTATTAGCTGTGCCGTGCATTTTCCAAGCAAATCAGGACGTTAAAACTGGAAGCTATCTGACCTCCCAATTTTACAAATCATGAAGTTGAGAATCAGAGATGCAAAGTGACTTGTCCAGGATCACACGGGTAGATATGATAGAAAGTTAGACTTTTAGATAGAAAGGAGTTTTTAGATGCTACTGATTTAATGTCTCCCCCTCCCGATTTGGACCTTTCCATTTTATTTTTATCCATCAAAATCTCAGCTTCGGAAAGAATATGGAAATTCTTGGGTGACAGATGCTCTGGAAGTGCACATCCAGGAGTGTTATGTGACTAATGTCTTAACTAAGAATAATAATATATTATGGACTATTTTTAATCTCTTGGTTCACCTTGAAACTGTTGAAGGAAAATAGTGAGCCCATAGAAAAGTTTTAAAAAGCTTTGTCTTAGTGATCTCTTGCTGAGGGAGACATGTGTAGCTGAGACATCTTTTAGTGATGGTTAACTTCAGGCTAGACCTTGTTGCATGAAATAATGCAGGGGGTTTTTTTTTGTTTTTTTGTTTTTTTGTTTTTGTTTTTTCAGAATGATGCAGGCCATTCTCTTCCAGGGGTGCTTTCTCTATAAAGTTTCAGCCCAAGGCATCTTCCCATCAAAACCTATACAAATCTGGAGTTATCCAGGACACAATTTTTACATTCTCCAAGT